TAGAAAAAATTACCAATATTTGGAATCAAACTTGATTTATGAATTGCAGAGGCTTCCAGATGATTTTATGAGGAAATATGGGGGTGAACTTTCTCCAATTGTTACCCTCTCTGTTCCTGATGTAGTTCTGGTCGTGTTAGGGTTGAAAAAGGCAACAACAATTATTGGTATCCGTGACGGTTGGCAAGAGTTTATTATCAGCACTATTCCATTGGCGAGGATAACTTGTTTGGTTTTCAGATACGAAGGAAAGTCAGGTTTCAATGTTCATGTTTTTAATTTGGCTACTTCTGAGATAAACTATCAATCAGCCATACGATGCAAAGTAATGAAGGGCCTCACTTTGCAAATCTTCTTAAATTTTTTGAAGAAATTGATGATGAAGATTCCATTGAAATATTGGATTCATCACCTTCCCATCTTGCTCCAAGTTCATTGCAAAATAGAGTTCTTGCTTGTTCAGTAGATAAAATGTCTCCTGCAAAGAGTTATACACCTCCAGCATTACAGAATCTGTTCAATGGATCTAAACTTAATAGCATAAACTGGGGAGAGGGTGGTGATGCGCATTGTTCCAAAAGTGCCAATTCACTGGATGATCGATTCACCAGAGACATAGGAGTTCAATTTAACGCAGTCGAGTTTAAAAGATCTACTGAAGAATTGAAACTACGTGCTTCCATGGAGGAAAGGATGAAAAAAACTGCAAGAAAGAAGCGGAAATCAGGTCCTAGTAGTAGTCCCTTTTGACTCCTTTTTCTTTCTGTGATCTGTTTATCTAAAAAGGAAATTTTAAGATGAATACAATTTGTGAAAGTGCAGATGGACAGGAAGCCTCTGCTGAGCAAGAAGAGGAAGTTGAAATGCGCTTCAGATTTTATGAAAGTGCTTCTGCAAGAAAAAGAACTGTGACAGCAGAAGAAAGAGAGAGGGCCATCAGTGCAGCGAAAGCATTTGAACCACCTAATCCTTTCTGTAGGGTTGTCCTAAGGCCCTCCTACCTATACAGGGGATGCATAATGGTGAGCCTTTGAATTTGACACTACACATATAACGTTTCATTCGTCTTATTAGCTGATCTTGTATACTAAAATCTCATCTTTGTGTATTTTCAGTATCTGCCATCCTGTTTTGCAGAAAAACATTTGAATGGAGTTTCTGGGTTTATTAAACTTCAGATTTCTAATGGGAGACAGTGGCCAGTTCGCTGCCTTTATAGGGTAGGTAGAGCCAAGTTAAGCCAGGGGTGGTTTGAATTTTCATTAGAGAACAATTTAGGAGAAGGTGATGTGTGTGTGTTTGAGCTTCTTAGAATGAAAGAAGTAGTGCTGCAAGTTACCATCTTTCGCATTACTGAGGAAGTGGGAATGTTGAAGCCTCCTCCTTCGCAGCAGAACCAAAACATGAGCTCAGCTAAACTGCTGAACACTCCCTTGCAGCAACACCTTAGTTCAACTCAAATGGTTTGAAATTAGCAGCAGCTTCATCACTTATAGCTCAACTGTATCAAATAATCCCTTGCTTATGTGTGGAACTCAGATGCACTTTCTGTCCAACATGTCAGGGTGACTTCAATGGAACATAGTTATTATAGTTTTGATACTTTTCCCCCATTCCTCTTCTTTTGACTTGGATTGTAAATAGATTGTTCGATCTAGCTCATCAGAAACCGAGTCAATGTTTTTCCTATTGCTGTTTATCTTGTTTTTCTTTTCTTTTCAGTTTCAAGTTAGATTATATAGCTTGCTTCACTGTTTTTGTTGATTGCTGTAAGTTGTGTCTGATAGTTTACTTGAATGTTCATCTTTTCTGTGACATGGATGGATGGATATACAAGGAGACAGTGAAAATAGGTTATTTATTTTTAATTGGTTTATAAATTATTTTTAACAAATGAAAAAAAAATATTCTCTTTTATTTTCAAGAAGTTTTTCTAAGTAATATTTACTTTTCATACCCTACTGTTTCTAAGAGATCAACCTGCATTTTTGTTTTCTTTCTTTGCTTTTGCTTTAAATAATTATCAATTCTGCAGTTGATATATCAATTTCCAAATTCTTAAAACACCACATGTCCTTTAGAAACTCCAAGATCAAACTTTCAAAAGTCCATTTTGAAATTAAACTTTTGAATGCCTATTTGTTCTATAACATTAAATGCTTCCCAAACTAAACAAATTGTTATTCCAAAATAAAGCAGTATATTCCAGAAATTATAATTTTTGAATAAAAGTTTAATTTTGAAAATACGAATACACTCTTAAAAAATTAGATCCAAAAGCACATTTTTACATAACAATATGGAATTTAAATTTAGAAAGACAAACTAACAGTGAAAAAACAAAATATTCACATCTGGAATGACATTAGAGAGTATTTTTTTAGAAAGGAAAAAAAAGAAAGAAATGGATATGGTGTTTAGAAAATTTACATACATGGTCTTTCTTTGGCCAAAATGATAAAAAAGTATGTGTTTCTGGCTTTGACTTATTAACTTTACAACTTGATAAACTGCTAAAATTTTTCAGTGTTGCTATTACTTTGAAATTGTTTCAGCTAAATTCATCATTGAATATCATTTAAGCCTTATTATTCTGTTCTATGATCTTCCTATAGTACATGTGTAAAAAAAGATAATAAAAACAATTTAGTCTGTCAATAACTTCATATAGGTCTCATTCAAAGTTAAGTTTGAGGAAATTGGATAGGCACATAAACCTTGTTTTGAACTATGAAATAAGCTCATAATATTGGAAGAATCATATACCAAATCATTCTTAATTTTATTTACTCAATATGGTTAACTAGTGCAGTCCCTTCATGTAATACAAACAAAATAACTTTAATAGTAATCTGTGAAATAAAAATCAGACTTATCATTAAGGTTAATTATAGCATATTATAGGGTCAATCTCGTCCATGGTCACACGTTATTCATAAAATAGAAAAGCATTATAGAAGATGCTTGTTGAGGTTAAAGTATTCAGAAATAGCATTGTGTACGTAGCATCATTAATATTTAGATGGACCACACAGTAAAAATGGAAGACTAATCACCAATAATCTGCACTGAACTGAAATAATTGGTGCAGTACTGGACATGCACCATGCCCCATGCAGCATGCATGCACATGTTGTATATGACATGCTTTCACAATCATTTTCCGGGAAAAGAAAAGAATCACAATAATCACGAGGCTCATCAGACACTTAAACAGAAGTTTCTTGGAGTTTTGATGAAAAAAAATAAATTATCATCCATTGCATTAATTTGTTGTGATAAGAATCAGATCACAGAAACTAATATCTTCATTCCAAAACTCTTATCTTAAAGTTGAGAAGCTTGCACAGAAAAGCCACAACCTTACCCTACCCTTCTTGTTCTCCTTCAAAACTTTCATACCACACCTCTGAAAGAAAACAAAGATAAGTGCTTCTGCTATGTATGTGGTTCAAAACACTAGGGCATGTGAATAGTTGCTTCTGCAATAACATCTTCTGCATAATCAAGGTATAACAACTCCAAATTCTGTACTGCTCCAACTTTCACTGATTAATTTTAACTTTGATTCCTGTTAGTTGAGGTGACTGAACCATACACTGCTGGTATGATCTCTCGCTACCATTTATAGGGTTTGCAGTATCGCTGTAATTACCTTCACAATGTTTCATGTAAGACTTGTTTAAAACTACACCTTCTGTGCTGCTTGTGACACCCTTTTCTTAAAAAGGAACGATTGAATGGGATTTACTTTCAAAATTGTAAGAACAAATATAAAGCATACTTTTTTCATCATTGTGGTAAACTTTTAGCTCGAAAGTGAGGGCATTTCCAACTTTCGTCTTAAAGATTCAAAAGGGGAGTTGTGCTTGGTTGGAAAGAACTGGTTTTCAACACTGTCTTACTGATATAAGAAGAGAAAATGTTTACACTGAGTGCATAAATACCTGATTCCACTGGTTTTTTTCTTGTGCCATGTTTGTTCCATTGTGCCTTTTGTTTTTTTTTGTAAAAACCTTAGTTTGATTTTTTTTTTTCACAAGCTATTAATTCGCACACACTTTAGTGGCAGTTTATTGGTAGCTGCTAACATGAATGATTCATTTGTCTGTCTTTATCCTTAGTTTTGATATGGCTTTAATCATAACATTGTTAATGTTTTTTGTTTGGTTAGGGAACAGCAGTTTTCTACTGCCATGCATGCATAAGTGTTTAAATTATTTTTGAGAGAAAAAATAGTATAAATTCTTCTTTATCCAAAGTTCATTTATGAAAAAAAGAAAATATTAGTAATATAATACTATTCCGTAAAATTTAGAGAATTTCTTCCTTTCTTTAATGGAAGTTACATTTTAAATTTGTTGGTTTGTAATGCAATGTATTGAAATTAATGTACTATTATTAGAATTTAAAAAGAATTAATAAAAGAAAACTTAATAGATCACTGCCAATATTATATTTCCGGAGTATGGAAATTAGCATTTACAATCAAAAAATATAATATTTCTGAAAAAAAAATCCTTTTTATTAATTATCGATACACATGGTCATTTGGTTAGAACTATTATCTCTTTTTCTTTTATCTTTTTATTTGGAAAATGTTTTTAATTTTGTTTTATTGGACAAAAATTATTTTATATGGATGAAATTAAAAAAAAAATCTTAAAATACATCTTCCCCTCCAAAAAAAACTAGGAAATAAACAGTATATATAATATAATATAAAGTTAGGATATATTTACACCATACATAAAAACTTAGTTAAATTATATCTTTAATAACTTTTTATAAAATGTAACAACAGTTGAATTTCATATATTCTTATGAATTAGATTATGCTAGAAACAATTTTAAAATTATTTAAAATTTTAGCTCATCATTTAATTGTGATGAATAATATAATTTGATATTTAGAAATACGTAAATTTTTCTTACTGGATAATATATTTATATAGAAATTTAAATGATGTGAAATTTGAAAAACATTTTATTACGATAATATAAATAAATTACGTGCTTGGGACTATATTAAGAAGATGCTAAATTTTCAGAACTTGTGTTAAGAAAAAATTAATCCTTTCACAGCAGATCCAACATTTCTTTGACAGCAATAGCACGATGACTGGTGCAGAGAGGTACCCAGACTTCTTCAAAGTCTTCCTTCAAGAGCAGCACTCGGAAAGAATAGTAATTTCTTCATATACTTTCTGCAAGGATAATAGTATTGGTGTTCTTAGATTACTATTCAGAATATTAATACTTAGATTTACTGAAAATAGTAAGAGTTATAACAATTTAGTTATATCTCTATACAAATGCAGTTTTTGATTCCAAACACTATCAAAGTATTATAATATCTCAAGTATTGTTCTTTTTCTTCTCTCAAATTGCAGCTTATTCCCAATGCTTTTGTGAAGTTGGAACGGTTACAGGGAAAGATCCCTGAGGATGTCCTCCTCAGGAATAGTAGTGAGAGAGTGTGGCATGTTAAAACACGGTTTTTTGGAGACAGATTATATTTCGATGAAGGGTGGAAGATTTTCCATGAAGAAAACTGCTTAAGAAATGTAGATTTTCTGATATTTAGATATGACGGGGTTAATGAGTTCAGGGTCAAAATCCTTGAAAGATCAACACAGTGTGAGAAAACTCTGGTAAAGATGGAGGAGGAGGAAGGGAATGAAGAAGAGAAAGCAGCAACACAAGAAGTTGAAGAGACAGTGATAACACAGGAGGAACAAGCTGATGACTGTGACATAGAGGACGAGGAAGACAGTGAAGATCAGGACTACGATGACGATGACAATGACGATAGTGATTTTGATGAGAACACAGAGATGGAAGAACAGAGTGAAGAAGAAATCTTCGTTGATCCTGTTGGATACACCAGTCAAAGTTATCGAAAAACTTGCAGAAGTAAGTTTTCAGCTTCATGTCGAAAACCAGTTTTTTTTCCCCATATATGAGAGCATGAATCAGCCTTTACCCACTGATTTATCTTTCTTAGGGGACACTGCATCAAATTCGTACCCCCAGACTGAAGACCCTTTCAAAGAAGATGAATTTGACCCAGAAACGTGCATTCAGCCAGAGAATAATTTTTTTGAAGCAAAACTCTACAGAAGTAGACCCAACGAATTGGTTAGAACTTAGAATTCTAGTATTGTTTGTTCTAGTTCTGTCCTTTTAACCTGCATATAGCTATTGGCTTTTCAGACACTAAAGCCCTGTTAGATGAGTAAGTCAGTTTGCTCTTTAGTCTTTGTTCCTACCTTCTACTTTCCGTTGCTAATTAAATTCCCTTTGGTTTGGTTTGTAAGCCCTTTGAGCCTATACTACTGTGTTCATGTTTAAAGTGTTAACTTTTTGATTCCCCATGTCCTGAATCTGTTTAAGCAATTTCACTTTTCATCTACTGTACTTTTCACTTTTGGTTTGATTTGATTCCTTTCTATTGCAGCATATTCCAGGAATCGCCATTCAAGATTTTTCTCTCAGTTTTCCTGAAAAGATTACCCTTAAATGTTGTCAACACTGCCAGCGTAAGGTATGATATGTGTATTAATGGGGTTGTTCTGATAATTTGAAGTTATAGCTGTTTACTCTGATTGTCACAACAGGATATTCAAAGAAACAAATTACAAGACTATCATCTCAACTTGGCACAAGAGACACCCATCAGAAAAAGATATTTAGAAGTGACGGGAAAAGTGTGTAGGTGGCAGGATGATAGAATATGTATCAAGGGTTGGGCAAACTTTAGCAGAAGGAACAAGATAAAAAATAATGATGTATGCATCTGTGAAGTTATATCAGACGAAGACCAAGTAGTAAGAACATTTCTGGTGCACGTTATAGGTACTAGGAGGGAATAAACACACAATCGTCTGCCAGAGATTTGGATTAGTGCTAATTACACGCTCTAAATAGTTTTAGGAATTAATGCTTATAGTTTTCTTTCGTAATGGTTTCTTCCGTTCTGACTTGTAATGGCTACCATATTTATCTATTATTGGTTGCACTATCATTTAGATTAACACTATTGCCTGGTTCTTCCTTGGTTTGGAATTTGGAATCTTCTTTGTGGACTTAAACTCCACTTGGTTTCTTTGTTACTAGTTGGACAAATATAAACTTAATTATTATGCGAATTGGAGATTGGTGAACCAGTTTGATGCTTGAACCAATGTTCAAAGGCGCTGGAGATTTGCCACTAATTTGATGTGCTACCAGCCGCATCTTTAACACGTAATGCTGCAACTGAGATTTTCCAGATTGCAGTCATCATGATCAGTGATCCCATTCCTTTATTTTAAAAGTGGCTATAATTTGCTGACCATTTAAAAACAAACTTGTAATTCCAGAGAATATGTTAGTAAACCTTGCAGGGTTCATTCTATTTCTGAGGTTCTCATATTCCGACCAAAATATGGCCAACAAGGACCATCGGTTTAAGGCACGTTGAAAAGAATGAACCCTATCTTACGCACAAGTCTGTCTTTTCTGTGCTGCCTTCTCCCTCCCAACCCAAATGTGACATCCCAAAAATTGCATAGCATATTTCAAGGCAAAAATAATAAAGAAAATAAAGAACAGCATGAGTCACTTGCTCAACATGAAAACTTGCACACAAGTAGCAGCTATATAAATCAGTAAACGGGTGGTATTATGAAGTCTAACTATTACAAGAAATGTTTCACAGACCAGATACATGAGACATATCAAACTTGAAACAAATTCAATGACAAAATTTTTGGCTCCCTATTCCCTTCAGAAGAGCAAATAACAGCAGCATTATTGCTGCAATATAAATCTATCATATATTCTTTTCTCCCTTTTCCATAAGAAATACCAAGAACTCCTATCTGCAAAACAGTATATTGCCGTGACAAAACCTACTACGCACCCCACATGTCAGGACATCTGCAAGACAAAGTACACAGTCGGTTAAGAAGAATAAAACAAACTATTTACAATTCAGTATTTAATCACAAACAATAATAAGTAATCCGCTCTCAAAGAGAAATAACCACAATAAGTAACCTGATTACAACATCTACGTTCAAGTATCCTTCAACTTTCAATTACTTCAAATCTATAAAATGACAATAGAACCTACAATATAAAATCAAGAGTCCTGGACCCAAAGGTACACAGCACATGCAATTGGCCACTTATCCACACACAAGAATTAATAAAACGAAAGTTTATAAAACCAAAATGCACGTCCAGTAATAAACACAAATCATAGTCAACAAAAACACAATATTCTTCATAAGGAATAATGTGAGGGGGAGTTACTTACCAAAAATGGAAAAATATGAAAGATAAGAGGTAAAGTTTATTATAAAAAATGTGTCTTCTTTATATTCTTCATAAGAATTGAACACAGGTATCAAGAGCTTCCAACAACTACAACTCGCACTTAACCAACTGAGTTATACGCCCTTGATCTAAAACATGTGTTAAAAACCCGACTAGTTACATATTCTATGAATAGAGATCCCCCGGACTTTGTTTTCTGGCAGGTGGAAGGGCCTTAATTCTTGAAAAGGAAACACCAACACCACATTTTAGAATGAAATTTTAAAGTAGGAGATAGTGCAATTTGCGATAAAAAAATTTGCAACAAAAGTTTTTCCACCAGTCACGAGCCATGAGTGCATCAGCAGAACCAATTGACACTAGTGTCAATATACTTGCTTTAATGACTTAACAAGACGCTCTGCACAGATTCAGACCCGAAGTCTACCAAATATATTACAATAAAAAACACACAAGCACGCTTGCTCTCACAGTTTTGAAGGGACATACTACACCATAAATGCCAACAAAGAGCAGACTACAGAACTTCTTCACTTTCAATCAAGGAGCCATCCAAGAAAACTTAAACACATCAGAAGCAAGCTAACTCCATTTGCTATAATGCAAAAACGCCCACATAATTAGGCCTTTTACCAACTGCTCCGCCTAAAGTGCATGGGCCCAGCATCCATTTATGTTAAACCAAAAGATAATCGGTTCAATCATGATTCATTGAAGTTTATTTGCATAAACTTATTCATAAACACTCCAAAGAAGAGAAGAAAACAACAACAACAAAATCTTCCAAGCTAATTTGTAAAAACTCCTTTATATAAGTTTTTCAAAATCAGATTTTTAACTTATGCACCATTTTTAACTTACAAAGAAATTTACTTCATTTTTGTCCTTTATTTTCTTCTCCAAAAAGTGTTTCTAGAGAAAATCCGAAAACATTACGATTCTCCTTTTCAATATACTCTTACACATAATATGATAATATCTTTACAAAAAATATGCACATATGCTCTGTATTCTATGCAGTCCAATAAACTAGGAATACAATTAAATTCACAGGCATGACTGTAATATAGAAACAACGTATACGACATTCCGTTTATTCTCCTGGCACTGCAACCTATTAATTCTGGCAATGGAAGATAGATATGGATGAGAAACAGTGGGTGACCTGAAATTCAAGCAACGGTTACGGTTTGTTGTTTTGAAGGTTGGAGACCCTTGTTCCGTCGATTTTGGTCGGAATCGGCGAGGAAATCTTCGATGTTGTAGACGACGGTGATATAGAGAGAGCAGCTAGGGCACCGAGCAATCTCTTCACCGAGTTTGAGGTCTTCCTTCGTGATCTGGAAGAGATCCCCGCAAGGGCACGGGTACGTGTAGGCCTGCAACTCCTCGTTCCACTCCATGTCCTCGATCTCCACCTCGTCGTACGACATCGTTTTGCTCTTTCTGGACTTTCGCCTTTCGGGATTTTTCTTCTCTCTCAACCAACAAACCCAACGCCAACAGAGGGAGCAAAACAAAGGAGGAGATTCCTGCCTTTATATAAATTTACAACTTAAACCCTTCAATTTGGAGAATTATTTTTCCTCATAATCACAAAGACCTGATATGTAATTTAAATTGCATTTATGGAAATTTTGTTTTTCCTTTTTATGGGAGCGTCCTTCAAATAAATAAAGTTAGTCAATTGTTTTTTTATTAATTAATTTTTGCATAACTCGGGTGAAAAATGAATAAGTTATTAGAGGTGATTTATTTATTATTAATGAAATAATTAATTTAATTAAAACATAAATGAATTTAAATAAATAATAATTTAAAAGAATAAAATGACAAAATAATTATTGTAATTTAAAATAATTAAATTTAAATTAAAAAAAAAAATTAAATGTGATTGTTTTAATTTAAAATGATATTTACTTAAATAATAAAATTGGAAAAAGAATTATATACAAGAAAAACTAATTTTGTTTGTATATAGATATAGATTTTTTAATGAATTAAATAAAAACTGAAAAGTGAAATTAATTTTTTTTCTCTCTAAATCTATAAGAATAATAACACAAAATCTGTTAATTTTCCGTTTTTCTCTCTCTCCAACATCCAAACATGAGGATAAAAACTAAAGGAAAATGATACTTGAACAACCATTTTTGACAACATTTAGACACGCGCAAACGTGTCAAAATCTGAGNTCTTAAAACACCACATGTCCTTTAGAAACTCCAAGATCAAACTTTCAAAAGTCCATTTTGAAATTAAACTTTTGAATGCCTATTTGTTCTATAACATTAAATGCTTCCCAAACTAAACAAATTGTTATTCCAAAATAAAGCAGTATATTCCAGAAATTATAATTTTTGAATAAAAGTTTAATTTTGAAAATACGAATACACTCTTAAAAAATTAGATCCAAAAGCACATTTTTACATAACAATATGGAATTTAAATTTAGAAAGACAAACTAACAGTGAAAAAACAAAATATTCACATCTGGAATGACATTAGAGAGTATTTTTTTAGAAAGGAAAAAAAAGAAAGAAATGGATATGGTGTTTAGAAAATTTACATACATGGTCTTTCTTTGGCCAAAATGATAAAAAAGTATGTGTTTCTGGCTTTGACTTATTAACTTTACAACTTGATAAACTGCTAAAATTTTTCAGTGTTGCTATTACTTTGAAATTGTTTCAGCTAAATTCATCATTGAATATCATTTAAGCCTTATTATTCTGTTCTATGATCTTCCTATAGTACATGTGTAAAAAAAGATAATAAAAACAATTTAGTCTGTCAATAACTTCATATAGGTCTCATTCAAAGTTAAGTTTGAGGAAATTGGATAGGCACATAAACCTTGTTTTGAACTATGAAATAAGCTCATAATATTGGAAGAATCATATACCAAATCATTCTTAATTTTATTTACTCAATATGGTTAACTAGTGCAGTCCCTTCATGTAATACAAACAAAATAACTTTAATAGTAATCTGTGAAATAAAAATCAGACTTATCATTAAGGTTAATTATAGCATATTATAGGGTCAATCTCGTCCATGGTCACACGTTATTCATAAAATAGAAAAGCATTATAGAAGATGCTTGTTGAGGTTAAAGTATTCAGAAATAGCATTGTGTACGTAGCATCATTAATATTTAGATGGACCACACAGTAAAAATGGAAGACTAATCACCAATAATCTGCACTGAACTGAAATAATTGGTGCAGTACTGGACATGCACCATGCCCCATGCAGCATGCATGCACATGTTGTATATGACATGCTTTCACAATCATTTTCCGGGAAAAGAAAAGAATCACAATAATCACGAGGCTCATCAGACACTTAAACAGAAGTTTCTTGGAGTTTTGATGAAAAAAAATAAATTATCATCCATTGCATTAATTTGTTGTGATAAGAATCAGATCACAGAAACTAATATCTTCATTCCAAAACTCTTATCTTAAAGTTGAGAAGCTTGCACAGAAAAGCCACAACCTTACCCTACCCTTCTTGTTCTCCTTCAAAACTTTCATACCACACCTCTGAAAGAAAACAAAGATAAGTGCTTCTGCTATGTATGTGGTTCAAAACACTAGGGCATGTGAATAGTTGCTTCTGCAATAACATCTTCTGCATAATCAAGGTATAACAACTCCAAATTCTGTACTGCTCCAACTTTCACTGATTAATTTTAACTTTGATTCCTGTTAGTTGAGGTGACTGAACCATACACTGCTGGTATGATCTCTCGCTACCATTTATAGGGTTTGCAGTATCGCTGTAATTACCTTCACAATGTTTCATGTAAGACTTGTTTAAAACTACACCTTCTGTGCTGCTTGTGACACCCTTTTCTTAAAAAGGAACGATTGAATGGGATTTACTTTCAAAATTGTAAGAACAAATATAAAGCATACTTTTTTCATCATTGTGGTAAACTTTTAGCTCGAAAGTGAGGGCATTTCCAACTTTCGTCTTAAAGATTCAAAAGGGGAGTTGTGCTTGGTTGGAAAGAACTGGTTTTCAACACTGTCTTACTGATATAAGAAGAGAAAATGTTTACACTGAGTGCATAAATACCTGATTCCACTGGTTTTTTTCTTGTGCCATGTTTGTTCCATTGTGCCTTTTGTTTTTTTTTGTAAAAACCTTAGTTTGATTTTTTTTTTTCACAAGCTATTAATTCGCACACACTTTAGTGGCAGTTTATTGGTAGCTGCTAACATGAATGATTCATTTGTCTGTCTTTATCCTTAGTTTTGATATGGCTTTAATCATAACATTGTTAATGTTTTTTGTTTGGTTAGGGAACAGCAGTTTTCTACTGCCATGCATGCATAAGTGTTTAAATTATTTTTGAGAGAAAAAATAGTATAAATTCTTCTTTATCCAAAGTTCATTTATGAAAAAAAGAAAATATTAGTAATATAATACTATTCCGTAAAATTTAGAGAATTTCTTCCTTTCTTTAATGGAAGTTACATTTTAAATTTGTTGGTTTGTAATGCAATGTATTGAAATTAATGTACTATTATTAGAATTTAAAAAGAATTAATAAAAGAAAACTTAATAGATCACTGCCAATATTATATTTCCGGAGTATGGAAATTAGCATTTACAATCAAAAAATATAATATTTCTGAAAAAAAAATCCTTTTTATTAATTATCGATACACATGGTCATTTGGTTAGAACTATTATCTCTTTTTCTTTTATCTTTTTATTTGGAAAATGTTTTTAATTTTGTTTTATTGGACAAAAATTATTTTATATGGATGAAATTAAAAAAAAAATCTTAAAATACATCTTCCCCTCCAAAAAAAACTAGGAAATAAACAGTATATATAATATAATATAAAGTTAGGATATATTTACACCATACATAAAAACTTAGTTAAATTATATCTTTAATAACTTTTTATAAAATGTAACAACAGTTGAATTTCATATATTCTTATGAATTAGATTATGCTAGAAACAATTTTAAAATTATTTAAAATTTTAGCTCATCATTTAATTGTGATGAATAATATAATTTGATATTTAGAAATACGTAAATTTTTCTTACTGGATAATATATTTATATAGAAATTTAAATGATGTGAAATTTGAAAAACATTTTATTACGATAATATAAATAAATTACGTGCTTGGGACTATATTAAGAAGATGCTAAATTTTCAGAACTTGTGTTAAGAAAAAATTAATCCTTTCACAGCAGATCCAACATTTCTTTGACAGCAATAGCACGATGACTGGTGCAGAGAGGTACCCAGACTTCTTCAAAGTCTTCCTTCAAGAGCAGCACTCGGAAAGAATAGTAATTTCTTCATATACTTTCTGCAAGGATAATAGTATTGGTGTTCTTAGATTACTATTCAGAATATTAATACTTAGATTTACTGAAAATAGTAAGAGTTATAACAATTTAGTTATATCTCTATACAAATGCAGTTTTTGATTCCAAACACTATCAAAGTATTATAATATCTCAAGTATTGTTCTTTTTCTTCTCTCAAATTGCAGCTTATTCCCAATGCTTTTGTGAAGTTGGAACGGTTACAGGGAAAGATCCCTGAGGATGTCCTCCTCAGGAATAGTAGTGAGAGAGTGTGGCATGTTAAAACACGGTTTTTTGGAGACAGATTATATTTCGATGAAGGGTGGAAGATTTTCCATGAAGAAAACTGCTTAAGAAATGTAGATTTTCTGATATTTAGATATGACGGGGTTAATGAGTTCAGGGTCAAAATCCTTGAAAGATCAACACAGTGTGAGAAAACTCTGGTAAAGATGGAGGAGGAGGAAGGGAATGAAGAAGAGAAAGCAGCAACACAAGAAGTTGAAGAGACAGTGATAACACAGGAGGAACAAGCTGATGACTGTGACATAGAGGACGAGGAAGACAGTGAAGATCAGGACTACGATGACGATGACAATGACGATAGTGATTTTGATGAGAACACAGAGATGGAAGAACAGAGTGAAGAAGAAATCTTCGTTGATCCTGTTGGATACACCAGTCAAAGTTATCAAAAAACTTGCAGAAGTAAGTTTTCAGCTTCATGTCGAAAACCAGTTTTTTTTCCCCATATATGAGAGCATGAATCAGCCTTTACCCACTGATTTATCTTTCTTAGGGGACACTGCATCAAATTCGTACCCCCAGACTGAAGACCCTTTCAAAGAAGATGAATTTGACCCAGAAACGTGCATTCAGCCAGAGAATAATTTTTTTGAAGCAAAACTCTACAGAAGTAGACCCAACGAATTGGTTAGAACTTAGAATTCTAGTATTGTTTGTTCTAGTTCTGTCCTTTTAACCTGCATATAGCTATTGGCTTTTCAGACACTAAAGCCCTGTTAGATGAGTAAGTCAGTTTGCTCTTTAGTCTTTGTTCCTACCTTCTACTTTCCGTTGCTAATTAAATTCCCTTTGGTTTGGTTTGTAAGCCCTTTGAGCCTATACTACTGTGTTCATGTTTAAAGTGTTAACTTTTTGATTCCCCATGTCCTGAATCTGTTTAAGCAATTTCACTTTTCATCTACTGTACTTTTCACTTTTGGTTTGATTTGATTCCTTTCTATTGCAGCATATTCCAGGAATCGCCATTCAAGATTTTTCTCTCAGTTTTCCTGAAAAGATTACCCTTAAATGTTGTCAACACTGCCAGCGTAAGGTATGATATGTGTATTAATGGGGTTGTTCTGATAATTTGAAGTTATAGCTGTTTACTCTGATTGTCACAACAGGATATTCAAAGAAACAAATTACAAGACTATCATCTCAACTTAGCACAAGAGACACCCATCAGAAAAAGATATTTAGAAGTGACGGGAAAAGTGTGTAGGTGGCAGGATGATAGAATATGTATCAAGGGTTGGGCAAACTTTAGCAGAAGGAACAAGATAAAAAATAATGATGTATGCATCTGTGAAGTTATATCAGACGAAGAACAAGTAGTAAGAACATTTCTGGTGCACGTTATAGGTACTAGGAGGGAATAAACACACAATCGTCTGCCAGAGATTTGGATTAGTGCTAATTACACGCTCTAAATAGTTTTAGGAATTAATGCTTATAGTTTTCTTTCGTAATGGTTTCTTCCGTTCTAACTTGTAATGGCTACCATATTTATCTATTATTGGTTGCACTATCATTTAGATTAACACTATTGCCTGGTTCTTCCTTGGTTTGGAATTTGGAATCTTATTTGTGGACTTAAACTCCACTTGGTTTCTTTGTTACTAGTTGGACAAATATAAACTTAATTATTATGCGAATTGGAGATTGGTGAACCAGTTTGATGCTTGAACCAATGTTCAAAGGCGCTGGAGATTTGCCACTAATTTGATGTGCTACCAGCCGCATCTTTAACACGTAATGCTGCAACTGAGATTTTCCAGATTGCAGTCATCATGATCAGTGATCCCATTCCTTTATTTTAAAAGTGGCTATAATTTGCTGACCATTTAAAAACAAACTTGTAATTCCAGAGAATATGTTAGTAAACCTTGCAGGGTTCATTCTATTTCTGAGGTTCTCATATTCCGACCAAAATATGGCCAACAAGGACCATCGGTTTAAGGCACGTTGAAAAGAATGAACCCTATCTTACGCACAAGTCTGTCTTTTCTGTGCTGCCTTCTCCCTCCCAACCCAAATGTGACATCCCAAAAATTGCATAGCATATTTCAAGGCAAAAATAATAAAGAAAATAAAGAACAGCATGAGTCACTTGCTCAACATGAAAACTTGCACACAAGTAGCAGCTATATAAATCAGTAAACGGGTGGTATTATGAAGTCTAACTATTACAAGAAATGTTTCACAGACCAGATACATGAGACATATCAAACTTGAAACAAATTCAATGACAAAATTTTTGGCTCCCTATTCCCTTCAGAAGAGCAAATAACAGCAGCATTATTGCTGCAATATAAATCTATCATATATTCTTTTCTCCCTTTTCCATAAGAAATACCAAGAACTCCTATCTGCAAAACAGTCAGTATATTGCCGTGACAAAACCTACTACGCACCCCACATGTCAGGACATCTGCAAGACAAAGTACACAGTCGGTTAAGAAGAATAAAACAAACTATTTACAATTCAGTATTTAATCACAAACAATAATAAGTAATCCGCTCTCAAAGAGAAATAACCACAATAAGTAACCTGATTACAACATCTACGTTCAAGTATCCTTCAACTTTCAATTACTTCAAATCTATAAAATGACAATAGAACCTACAATATAAAATCAAGAGTCCTGGACCCAAAGGTACACAGCACATGCAATTGGCCACTTATCCACACACAAGAATTAATAAAACGAAAGTTTATAAAACCAAAATGCACGTCCAGTAATAAACACAAATCATAGTCAACAAAAACACAATATTCTTCATAAGGAATAATGTGAGGGGGAGTTACTTACCAAAAATGGAAAAATATGAAAGATAAGAGGTAAAGTTTATTATAAAAAATGTGTCTTCTTTATATTCTTCATAAGAATTGAACACAGGTATCAAGAGCTTCCAACAACTACAACTCGCACTTAACCAACTGAGTTATACGCCCTTGATCTAAAACATGTGTTAAAAACCCGACTAGTTACATATTCTATGAATAGAGATCCCCCGGACTTTGTTTTCTGGCAGGTGGAAGGGCCTTAATTCTTGAAAAGGAAACACCAACACCACATTTTAGAATGAAATTTTAAAGTAGGAGATAGTGCAATTTGCGATAAAAAAATTTGCAACAAAAGTTTTTCCACCAGTCACGAGCCATGAGTGCATCAGCAGAACCAATTGACACTAGTGTCAATATACTTGCTTTAATGACTTAACAAGACGCTCTGCACAGATTCAGACCCGAAGTCTAACAAATATATTACAATAAAAAACACACAAGCACGCTTGCTCTCACAGTTTTGAAGGGACATACTACACCATAAATGCCAAAAAAGAGCAGACTACAGAACTTCTTCACTTTCAATCAAGGAGCCATCCAAGAAAACTTAAACACATCAGAAGCAAGCTAACTCCATTTGCTATAATGCAAAAACGCCCACATAATTAGGCCTTTTACCAACTGCTCCGCCTAAAGTGCATGGGCCCAGCATCCATTTATGTTAAACCAAAAGATNCTATAATTTGCTGACCATTTAAAAACAAACTTGTAATTCCAGAGAATATGTTAGTAAACCTTGCAGGGTTCATTCTATTTCTGAGGTTCTCATATTCCGACCAAAATATGGCCAACAAGGACCATCGGTTTAAGGCACGTTGAAAAGAATGAACCCTATCTTACGCACAAGTCTGTCTTTTCTGTGCTGCCTTCTCCCTCCCAACCCAAATGTGACATCCCAAAAATTGCATAGCATATTTCAAGGCAAAAATAATAAAGAAAATAAAGAACAGCATGAGTCACTTGCTCAACATGAAAACTTGCACACAAGTAGCAGCTATATAAATCAGTAAACGGGTGGTATTATGAAGTCTAACTATTACAAGAAATGTTTCACAGACCAGATACATGAGACATATCAAACTTGAAACAAATTCAATGACAAAATTTTTGGCTCCCTATTCCCTTCAGAAGAGCAAATAACAGCAGCATTATTGCTGCAATATAAATCTATCATATATTCTTTTCTCCCTTTTCCATAAGAAATACCAAGAACTCCTATCTGCAAAACAGTCAGTATATTGCCGTGACAAAACCTACTACGCACCCCACATGTCAGGACATCTGCAAGACAAAGTACACAGTCGGTTAAGAAGAATAAAACAAACTATTTACAATTCAGTATTTAATCACAAACAATAATAAGTAATCCGCTCTCAAAGAGAAATAACCACAATAAGTAACCTGATTACAACATCTACGTTCAAGTATCCTTCAACTTTCAATTACTTCAAATCTATAAAATGACAATAGAACCTACAATATAAAATCAAGAGTCCTGGACCCAAAGGTACACAGCACATGCAATTGGCCACTTATCCACACACAAGAATTAATAAAACGAAAGTTTATAAAACCAAAATGCACGTCCAGTAATAAACACAAATCATAGTCAACAAAAACACAATATTCTTCATAAGGAATAATGTGAGGGGGAGTTACTTACCAAAAATGGAAAAATATGAAAGATAAGAGGTAAAGTTTATTATAAAAAATGTGTCTTCTTTATATTCTTCATAAGAATTGAACACAGGTATCAAGAGCTTCCAACAACTACAACTCGCACTTAACCAACTGAGTTATACGCCCTTGATCTAAAACATGTGTTAAAAACCCGACTAGTTACATATTCTATGAATAGAGATCCCCCGGACTTTGTTTTCTGGCAGGTGGAAGGGCCTTAATTCTTGAAAAGGAAACACCAACACCACATTTTAGAATGAAATTTTAAAGTAGGAGATAGTGCAATTTGCGATAAAAAAATTTGCAACAAAAGTTTTTCCACCAGTCACGAGCCATGAGTGCATCAGCAGAACCAATTGACACTAGTGTCAATATACTTGCTTTAATGACTTAACAAGACGCTCTGCACAGATTCAGACCCGAAGTCTAACAAATATATTACAATAAAAAACACACAAGCACGCTTGCTCTCACAGTTTTGAAGGGACATACTACACCATAAATGCCAAAAAAGAGCAGACTACAGAACTTCTTCACTTTCAATCAAGGAGCCATCCAAGAAAACTTAAACACATCAGAAGCAAGCTAACTCCATTTGCTATAATGCAAAAACGCCCACATAATTAGGCCTTTTACCAACTGCTCCGCCTAAAGTGCATGGGCCCAGCATCCATTTATGTTAAACCAAAAGAAAATCGGTTCAATCATGATTCATTGAAGTTTATTTGCATAAACTTATTCATAAACACTCCAAAGAAGAGAAGAAAACAACAACAAAAAAATCTTCCAAGCTAATTTGTAAAAACTCCTTTATATAAGTTTTTCAAAATCAGATTTTAAACTTATGCACCATTTTTAACTTAAAAAGAAATTTACTTCATTTTTGTCCTTTATTTTCTTCTCCAAAAAGTGTTTCTAGAGAAAATCCGAAAACATTACGATTCTCCTTTTCAATATACTCTTACACATAATATGATAATATCTTTACAAAAAATATGCACATATGCTATGTATTCTATGCAGTCCAATAAACTAGGAATACAATTAAATTCACAGGCATGACTGTAATATAGAAACAACGTATACGACATTCCGTTTATTCTCCTGGCACTGCAACCTATTAATTCTGGCAATGGAAGATAGATATGGATGAGAAACAGTGGGTGACCTGAAATTCAAGCAACGGTTACGGTTTGTTGTTTTGAAGGTTGGAGACCCTTGTTCCGTCGATTTTGGTCGGAATCGGCGAGGAAATCTTCGATGTTGTAGACGACGGTGATATAGAGAGAGCAGCTAGGGCACCGAGCAATCTCTTCACCGAGTTTGAGGTCTTCCTTCGTGATCTGGAAGAGATCCCCGCAAGGGCACGGGTACGTGTAGGCCTGCAACTCCTCGTTCCACTCCATGTCCTCGATCTCCACCTCGTCGTACGACATCGTTTTGCTCTTTCTGGACTTTCGCCTTTCGGGATTTTTCTTCTCTCTCAACCAACAAACCCAACGCCAACAGAGGGAGCAAAACAAAGGAGGAGATTCCTGCCTTTATATAAATTTACAACTTAAACCCTTCAATTTGGAGAATTATTTTTCCTCATAATCACAAAGACCTGATATGTAATTTAAATTGCATTTATGGAAATTTTGTTTTTCCTTTTTATGGGAGCGTCCTTCAAATAAATAAAGTTAGTCAATTGTTTTTTTATTAATTAATTTTTGCATAACTCGGGTGAAAAATGAATAAGTTATTAGAGGTGATTTATTTATTATTAATGAAATAATTAATTTAATTAAAACATAAATGAATTTAAATAAATAATAATTTAAAAGAATAAAATGACAAAATAATTATTGTAATTTAAAATAATTAAATTTAAATTAAAAAAAAAAATTAAATGTGATTGTTTTAATTTAAAATGATATTTACTTAAATAATAAAATTGGAAAAAGAATTATATACAAGAAAAACTAATTTTGTTTGTATATAGATATAGATTTTTTAATGAATTAAATAAAAACTGAAAAGTGAAATTAATTTTTTTTCTCTCTAAATCTATAAGAATAATAACACAAAATCTGTTAATTTTCCGTTTTTCTCTCTCTCCAACATCCAAACATGAGGATAAAAACTAAAGGAAAATGATACTTGAACAACAATTTTTGACAACATTTAGACACGCGCAAACGTGTCAAAATCTGAGTGGTCCAGTTGAAAAAATTAAATGAAAATGGACCACTCAGATTTTGACACGTGTGCACGTGTCTAAATGTTGTCAAAAATGATTCTTGTCATTTTCCAAAACTAAAAGTGAAAGAACCACTTGAAAACTTAAGATGAGTTTCATATTTTTAATCTGCTTTTAACGAGTATTTCATTTCAGTAAGTGTCATCTCATTTTTTTATTTATAAGAATAAATAATTTTAAAAATATTATTACCATAAACATGTTCTTATTTCAAAACTCAGTAATGGACTAATTTTAAATTTTAAATATTGAATAAAATATTAAATTTATTTTTTCTAAATATTTCGCATGGCTTATTAATTTAAAGAAAAAAGAAATTGGGAAGAAGAGATGGAAGACAGAAAGGTATTAGTATGGTTCCTTGGTGGACATGGGAAGCAGAAAGCAATGAAACGCAGTGATGCAAGGAATTCACCAACACCAACAACACCAACAACACCAACACCTCGCTGCACTCGTCTCCGCGGCCCTCCCCAAGGACGATTCCGACGAAGACCCCTCCCCTCGCCTAGCAGCGATCCACTCCCTCCACCGCGCCATCCTCCACCCTCACAACTCCCTCCTCCTCTCTCACTCCGCCACTTTCCTCGCCCAGGCCTTCTCCCAACTTCTCTCCGACAAGTAACTTACTCATTTCACCTCACTCCGTTTTTAACCTAATTTCAAACTCACTTCACTCACACTACTCATCCTTTTTCAACTAACTTCGATTCTCCTGCAGATGCTACGAGGTGCGGCAGGCCGCGGTCACAGCCTACGGTGCGCTCTGCGCTGTGGCCGCTTCAATCCCTGTCGCTTCCAACGGAAGACAAAACCTCCTCTTGCTCGTCGACCGCTTCATCGGCTGGGCGTTGCCGTCTCTCAGCACAGCCGTCGCAGTCGATGGCACTAAAGAGCTCGCGCTGGAAGGCCTCCGCGAGTTCCTCAACGTTGGTGGAACAGACAGGTACGCTTTGCCTATTCTGAAGGCCTGTCAGGTGCTGCTTGAGGATGAGAGAACCTCTCTGGCTCTGTTACACAGACTTATTGGTGTTATTACTTTGATATCGTTGAAGTTTGTGAGGTGCTTTCAGCCTCATTTCCCTGACATTGTTGACTTGCTTCTTGGTTGGGCTTTGATGCCGGATTTAGCTCAGTCGGATAGGCGTGTTATTTTGGATAGCTTCTTGCAGTTTCAGAAGCATTGGGTTGGCAGTCTTCCCATGTCCTTGCGATTGCTCACTAAGTTCTTGGGGGACATGGAGGTTTTGCTTCATGATGGAACTCCAGGCACGCCGCAACAGTTTCGGCGGCTTCTTGCTCTGCTTTCTTGTTTTTCAACTATTCTGCAGTCCACTGCCTCGGGATTACTGGAGATGAACCTTCTTGAACAGATATGCGAGCCGCTTAGCGCCCTGTTGCCAAGATTGCTACGGTGTTTATCAATGATTGGGCAGAAATTTGGGTGGTCTGAGTGGATTGAGGATTCCTGGAAGTGTTTGACTCTTTTGGCTGAGATTTTGCAGGAGCGGTTTTCAAGTTTTTATCCTCTTGCTGTTGATATTTTGTTTCAGAGCTTGGAGTTTGGAGTGACAGTGCAGCGGCCAGGGTTGAAGAAGATTAGCTCTTTCCAAGTCCATGGGGTTTTGAAGACTAATCTTCAGTTGTTGTCGTTGCAAAAGCTTGGCCTCCTTCCATTGTCCGTGAAGAAGTTATTGAAGTTTGATGCATCGGTCTCTCAACTGCGGTTGCATCCAAATCATTTGGTGACTGGGAGTTCTGCAGCTACTTACGTTTTTTTGCTTCAGCATGCGAATAAAGAAGTCGTTGATGAAGCAGTCACCTCGTTGATTGAAGAACTGGAGCTCTTGAAGAGTTTAATAGGAAACAACAATGGCCATTCATATGAATTTAATCGTATTGTAGATATTAAAACATTTTCAGAAGCTGAGTTATTGGCCTTAATCAAGTTTGATTTGAAAGTACTATTAGCGTGTGTTTGCATGGGTGGGGACAACAGTTTGATTGGACAAAAGGATATTGCTTCATTGTATCTCAGGAGGTTAGAAAAGTTAGAGTTATTTATAACAAAACAGATGAATCCTTTTGAATTACCAATCCAGAATTTCATGGAGTTGCAGATCACTGTTGTTAAGACATTGGAGCGGCTAAATTCGGTTGAGTTCTTAATTAAGTGTTCTGTGAGAGAACAGAATTGTGAGAAGACTTTAGTTGAATTTCCAACTGAAAAGGAGGACAGAGATGATCAATTCAGTAATGAGCGTTTGGCTGTGATTACTGAGCATTTGGAGAAGTACAGCAAGCTCGTTGTAAAAGCCTTTCATATTTCTTCTCCTCTGGCAATTAAATTAATTGTTCTAGATTGGGGACAAAAGTTCTGCGAGAGTGTAATGGCAGTTAATAAGATCTCAAGCATTAGCGGTTTTTCCTACGAAGCATGTGAGTATGCTAGTGTAATCATGAACTTAGTTTTTTCACTTTTAGGTGGTACATTTGAGAGGGAACAGGAAGTGAGGTCACATGTTGCAATAACTCTGGAGATGTTTATGCAGGCAAAACTTTTGCATCCTGTGTGTTTTTATCCCTTAGCTGAAGTCATACTGGAGAAACTTGGGGATCCAACCATAGAAATACGGGATGCATATGTAAGACTTCTTGCCCATATTTTGCCTACTACTATATATTCTTGTGGTCTGTATGATTATGGAAGATTTAGGTCTGTTGACCCTGAGTTAGGAAACAATTCTAAGCTTCACTGGAAACAATTATTTGCCCTGAAGCAGTTGCCACTGCAACTGCACTCCCAACATCTTGTGTCAATCTTAAGTTACATTTCACAAAGATGGAAGGTACCTCTTTCTTCTTGGATCCAACGCCTCATTCATAGTTGCCAGAGTTCAAAGGATGCTATTTTAAGTCTGCCTGAAGAAACAGGAATTTTTGGTGCTAATTCTCCATGGTTGGATATACGAGTGGATGAAGACATACTTGAAAAAATCTGTTCTGTCAATAATTTGGCTGGTGCCTGGTGGGCTGTACAAGAAGCAGCTCGGTACTGTATTGCTACAAGACTACGGACTAACCTTGGTGGCCCCACCCAAACATTTGCTGCTCTAGAGCGTATGCTTTTGGACATTGCACACCTTTTGCAACTTGATAATGAGCAAAGCGATGGGAACTTAAGTATGATAGGGTCTTCTGGTGCTCACTTGCTACCAATGAGATTATTGTTGGATTTTGTTGAGGCTCTTAAGAAAAATGTATATAATGCATACGAAGGGTCTGTCATTTTACCACCTGCTACTCGTCAGAGTACTTTATTTTTTCGAGCAAACAAAAAAGTATGCGAGGATTGGTTTTCTCGTATTTGTGAGCCAATGATGAATGCTGGGTTGGCTGTACATTGTAATGATGCTGTTATTCAGTATTGTACACTGCGTTTGCAGGAGCTCAAGAATCTTTCTGTGTCAACTTTGAAGGAAAAATCTAGGACCCAGGTAACTGATAACCTCCACAATATCAGAGGAAGGTATAGAGGAGATGTCTTGAAAGTTTTAAGAGATGTTTCACTAGCTCTTTGCAAGAGTTCTGATCCAGAGTCTTTAATTGGCCTTCAAAAATGGGTTTCCATTACCTTCTCCTTACTCGGGGACGAAAACCAGTCCTTCAGTGAGGGTGGAACTGTTGGACCACTTTCTTGGATAAGTGGGCTTATATATCAGGCAAGAGGCGAGTATGAAAATGCTGCAGCTCACTTTACGCATTTGCTACAGACAGAAGAGTCACTCAGCTCCCTTGGTTCTGATGGTATACAGTTTGTCATAGCGCGCATAATTGAGAGTTACACGGCTGTATCTGATTGGAGATCTCTTGAAACCTGGCTGTTAGAATTACAACAGCTTCGTGCTAAACATACTGGTCGAAGTTATTCTGGTGCTCTAACAATGGCTGGAAATGAAGTTAATGCAATCCATGCATTAGCACGTTTTGATGAGGGTGATTATCAGGCTGCATGGTCAAGCCTTGATTTGACACCTAAAAGCAATAGTGAGCTTACCCTTGATCCAAAAATAGCCTTGCAACGGAGTGAGCAGATGCTCTTGCAATCTTTGCTCTTCCAGAAGGAGGAAAAAAGTGATAAGGTACTGCATGATCTGCAGAAAGCTAGGTCAATGTTGGAGGAACCACTTTCTGTTCTGCCACTTGATGGCTTAGCTGAAGCAACACCTCTTGCAATTCAATTGCACTGCATTTTCCTTGTAGAAGATAATTGCAAGCTTAAAACAAATCATGAGAAGGCCAAACAACTACCATCAATACTGAATTCTCTTGAATCACTGCCATCTTCCATTAGTAAAATCCGTCAAGATTGTAATCCATGGCTGAAAGTTCTTAGGGTTTATAAAACCATTTCCCCAAGTTCTCCCGTAACTCTAAAATTTTGCATTAATTTGCATAATTTAGCCCGCAAGCAAAATAATCTTTTGTTGGCAAATCGTCTGAACAACTACATAAAAGATCATGTATTTGCTTGCCCAGAGGAGAGGCATCGAAATCTTCTGGTCTTAAACTTGCAGTACGAGAGCATTTTACTACAGTATGCTGAAAACAAGTTTGAAGACGCTTTCACAAACCTTTGGTCATTTTTGCATCCTTGCATGGTTTCTCCCAAACCATCTATAATATCTGATGTTAAAGAGAGGATTCTGAAGGCCAAAGCATGCTTGAAACTCTCAGATTGGCTGAGACGAGATTATTCAGACTGGAGTCCAGAGGGTGTTGTTCTAAAGATGGCAGCAGATTTTGATTTGGCTGAATCGTCTCCACATGGCAAAGATGGCAGCAAAGAAAACTTAAGTTGCAAATCAAATTTGGGTTCTATTATTGAGGAAATTGTTGGTACAACAACAAAATTGTCTTCTAGTATTTGCCCCACCATGGGCAAGTCATGGATTTCTTATGCTTCTTGGTGCTTTAAGCAAGCAACAGACTCACTCCATGTTCAGAGTGAAACCATCCTTCATTCATGCTCGTTTTCTTCCATGCTTGTTCCAGAAATTCTACCTGACAGATTCAAGTTGACTGAGGATGAGGTTCAAAGAATTAAGTCATTGGTTTTGTGTCTTTTTCAGGACAATATTGATATGAAAGGTTTCACAGATGAACAGGAAGAACAAAGCTCTTGGCTTGATTCTGCAGAGCTCTCAATTAGTGAGAGTCCTCTGCAGAAATTGGTTTGGAATATAGTGAATGTTATAGAAACCGCTGCAGGGGCATCAGGTGCAGAAAACTCTGGTGGTGAATGTCTTTCAGACATGGTATCTTCTCAATTGAGGATTTGTTTGTTAAGCACAAATTTTGGGCTCAAAGAATCTGACATTAGTTTTGCATTGGATAATTTTGTTGATATTTGGTGGTCTTTGAGAAGGAGGAGAGTGTCCTTGTTTGGACATGCTGCTCATGGTTACATACAATATCTTTCTTATTCATCTTCCCGTATTTGCCATAGTCAAGTGCCTGGTTCTGAATATGAGACTTTGAAGCAAAAAGCTGGCAGCTACACCCTGAAGGCTACATTGTATATATTGCATATACTTCTCAATTATGGTGTGGAATTGAAAGATACTCTTGAATCTGCTCTTCTGGTTGTTCCTTTGTTGCCGTGGCAGGTTGAATGCTAGATCTCAAGTTTTTACTTTAACTTTCTGTTTCATGAGGAGTATAGTTAATTGAAATGTTACTGAAATTGTCGTTATAGGAGGTTACACCTCAACTGTTTGCACGTATAAGTTCACATCCTGAACAAGTGATTCGAAAGCAGTTGGAGGGTTTACTAACAATGCTGGCGAAACAATCTCCATATTCTATAGTGTACCCAACACTAGTTGATGTTAATGCTTATGAAGAGAAACCTTCCGAAGAGCTTCATCATGTGTTGAGCTGTCTGGTAATATTAAAATTTCTGTGTGCATTTGTAGCTTATGTATGTATTCTTTTTACTTCAAATATTCTCTTAACATCATGTGGATAATTTGGCATCAAATTCTCACAACGTGACAATGGTCTCGTCTGCATTTAAAGACAGTGAAGTGTGGTCACTGATCAATTAATCTTTTTCAGGGATTTAGTAGTTTCAATTCTAGTGTCTGTAATATACTTTGGGTGGAAAAATACAAACTAATCTAGTTTCAGGCATAATAAGAATCTTGTTGGCTACTCATTAGTTTGACCTAGCATATTTATCAAGACATGATGTGACGTGTTCATGGATTTGACCAACACTTCTATAGTTGTTACTGCTTTTAGACTGACCTTTTATTGACTTACTTTTTTGGAGTAGCAAATAGGATAATTAAAATTTACTTGTTCCATGCAGAGAGAACTTTACCCCCGACTGGTTCAGGATGTTCAGCTTATGATAAATGAACTCGGAAATGTTACTGTTCTCTGGGAGGAGTTATGGCTGAGTACTCTTCAGGATCTTCATACAGGTTGCTTACTGAATTTTTCCAATATTTTGTTGATCATGAGATCCATTTCATTGCATTGCATTGGATAATTGATGACTTCTTTTTTGGTGTTTGAGAAAGGCACATGAGATTTCTATTTATTGAATAATTAGGTGAAGAGAAATGGGGCTAACTATATTTTGTTGCAGATGTGATGAGACGGATAAACTTACTGAAAGAAGAGGCAGCAAGAATTGCAGAAAATGTAACACTTAGTCAGAACGAGAAGAACAAGATAAATTCTGCTCGATATTCTGCAATGATGGCTCCAATAGTTGTGGCTTTGGAGCGTCGATTAGCTTCAACGTCTCGAAAACCTGAGACTCCTCATGAAGCTTGGTTCCAGGAAGAGTATAAAGACCAACTAAAATCAGCCCTAGTATCATTTAAAATCCCTCCAGTATCTTCTGCAGCTATAGGTGATGTGTGGCGACCTTTTGATAGTATTGCTGCATCCTTGGCCTCATATCAGAGGAAGTCTTCAGTTTCCTTGGGAGAAGTGGCTCCACATTTGGCTTTGTTATCATCTTCAGATGTTCCAATGCCAGGTCTTGAGAAACAAATGCAAGTACCGGACTCTGACAAAGCAACTGATCACCAAGGGGTTGTCACAATTGCTTCTTTTCATGAGCAAGTTACCATCTTACCAACAAAGACAAAGCCTAAGAAACTAGGTATACTTGGTTCAGATGGTCATAAATACACATATCTCCTCAAAGGACGAGAAGATTTGCGCCTTGATGCTAGAATCATGCAATTATTGCAGGCTATAAATGGTTTTCTGCATTCTTCATCTTCTGCATGTAGCAATTCTCTTACCATTCGCTATTATTCTGTGACTCCAATCAGTGGTCGGGCTGGCCTAATCCAGTGGGCGGGCAATGTGGTAAGTATTTACAGTGTATTTAAATCTTGGCAAACACGTGTCCAGCTAGCACAGTTTTTGGCATTGGGCTCTGCAAATCCAAAATCTTCAGCTCCTCCACCTGTTCCACGACCCAGTGATATGTTTTATGGGAAGATCATACCTGCACTTAAAGAGAAAGGCATAAAGAGGGTGATTTCCCGAAGAGACTGGCCTCATGAAGTCAAATGTAAAGTTCTTCTTGATCTCATGAAGGAAGTGCCTAGGCATCTTCTTTACCAGGAGCTGTGGTGTGCTAGTGAAGGATATAAAGCTTTCAGCTCAAAATTGAAGAGGTACATCAAAGGAACTTCTGAATCTCTGGCGCATTTTGTGGTTATCCCATTTATAGTTAAACTGAATGGATAAAGGTGTTCCCTGAATATGGATTTGGTTTTTGGGGATTTTTTTTTTTACTATAATATCTACAGGGATATACGTGACACTAACCATGAACTTGGTTCTCCATTTACACCTTGTTTGGTTGAGAATATAGTAGAGGATGAAATTCGTGTTGTATGTTTGATGGGAGAGAAAAAGAGGGAAAAGAATTTTATAAAATGGTACGACCCACGACCCACCATAGTATTTCTCATGTGCTCATAATGATCTCTCTATTTCTCTCCTCATCTCCCCTCTATTATTTCTCTTCAATCAAACACCTTTAATTTCTACTTCATTTGTCCTTTATTTCCATTCAACCTATTTCTCTCCTCTCTCTATCAAACAAAGCATTAAAACAATAAGTGTGGTTCAATCAATGTTTTGAAGGCTTTAGTTCTTTTATCATTAGTTGTCAAATACGGGTTGACTATTCTATTTGAATGTACCTCTTTCCAAGCTTGTGCTTGGCAAATGATGAACTTTTTTCTTTGAGGCAAGAATTTATAATAGATTTGATACTCCAGTTAGCTTTACTATTATTATAATTGTCCACCATCAATTGTAGGTATACAGGAAATGTTGCTGCAATGAGTATGGTTGGTCATGTTTTGGGACTGGGAGACAGGCATTTAGACAACATTCTTATAGATTTTTGTAATGGGGATATCGTACACATTGATTACAATGTGTGTTTTGACAAGGGACAAAGGCTAAAAATTCCAGAGATTGTTCCTTTCCGTTTGACCCAAATAATTGAAGCAGCTTTAGGGCTAAATGGAATAGAGGGTAGCTTCAGATCAAACTGCGAGAAAGTTATTGGTGTTTTAAGGAAGAACAAAGATGTGCTTTTGATGTTATTGGAAGTGTTTGTTTGGGATCCACTTGTGGAATGGACACGAGGTGATTTTCATGACGAAGCTGCAATTGGCGGTGAAGAGAGAAAAGGTATGGAGTTGGCTGTCAGCTTAAGTCTATTTGCATCTCGAGTACAGGAAATTCGGGTTCCCTTACAGGTATGTACAGAACATAGTTCTACACAAGCAAGTATTTGTGTCTGACAATTAGATAAGCAGTGTTCAAACCTTCTTGTGGTTGATATTTGGTTCAGATGTGTTAAAATAAGTGTGCATGTACGTAAATACTTTTGTGCTTCAAGCATTTGTGTAGTTTATGGATATTACACGACACATTTTAGAATTTGTGTGATGTATTTGAAATCGATTTGAACTCTTGATTTTTATTTAAATTCTTTAATTTGTAACCTTCAATTAGAAAATCCAGCGTGTGAAATTTTTCATACAGTATAGCTATGTGTTTGTATATATTTACTTGAGATCTATTCAACTTGTCTAATAAATGACTCTTTTTCTCCCTTAAATCTGTGAATAGGAACACCATGATCAATTATTGACTAGCCTGCCAGCTGTTGAATCGGCACTTGAGGTATTGATGAAATCAATGCCATGAAATTGTTTGGCTACATTTAAATTGTCTTTGTTTATTTTTTTTTCTCAATTCATACTTTTTTTGAATTTGAATTAACTTTGAGAAGTATGTACCAGAGGTTTGGTGACGTTCTAAACAAATATGAGCTTGCCTCTAGTCTGTACTGTCGAGCTGACCAGGAGAGGTCAAGCCTTATATTGCATGAGACGTCTGCAAAGTCAATTGTTGCTGAAGCAACCAGAAATTCAGAGAAAATTCGAGCTTCTTTTGAAATTCAGGCTCGGGAATTTGCTCAAGCAAAGGCTATGGTTGCTGAGAAAGCTCAGGAGGCAATGACTTGGGCTGAGCAGCATGGAAGGATTCTTGATGCTTTACGGTGTAACTTAATCCCAGAAATAAATGCTTCTTTTAAGCTGAATAACATGGAAACGGTCATATCTCTTACATCTGCTGTCATTGCAGCAGGGGTTCCACTAACTGTTGTTCCTGAGCCAACACAGGCACAATGCCATGATATAGATAGGGAAGTTTCTCAATTCATAGCTGAGTTGGGTGATGGACTAACTTCTGCCACAGCTTCTTTGCAAGCATACTCCTTGGCCCTGCAAAGAATTCTACCTTTAAATTACCTTTCAACCAGTGCAGTGCATAACTGGGCACAAGTTCTACAACTTTCTATCAATGCCCTGTCATCAGATATGCTCTCTCTTGCCAGAAGACAGGCTTCTGAACTTATTGCAAAGTTTCATGTAGATAACAGTGATTCTATTAAATTCAGTCATGATGATCTCTGTTTCAGAGTGGAGAAGTATGCAGTTGAAATAGAAAAAATAGAAAAAGAGTGTGCTGAAATAGAGAGTTCTATTGGCTCTGAATCAGAATCAAAAACTAAGGATCGTCTCTTATATGCTTTTATGAAATTCATGCAGTCCATTGGTCTTTTAAGGAAGGAAGTTGGAATATCTTCTATTCAATCTAAATATGACAGTGAGATGAACAATGCTAGACCTTTAGGTGAGCTAGAAGAGGAGAGGGAGAAAGTATTTTCAATTTTGAATATTGCCGTGAGTTCACTTTATAACGAGGTTAAGCATAAAATATTAAATATTTATAATGATGCATCCGGAGGGAGAAATCAATACAATATGTTACAGAATGATTCTGGAACTATTTTTGCTGAGTTTGAAGAACAAGTAGAAAAATGTAATCTTGTGACAGAATTTGTTCATGATCTATGCCAATTTATAGGAAAGGACATCCCTTCTGTTGATATTAACCAAGTTCGTTTGAAGATTTCTTCTGAAAGTAATTGGGTTTCCATTTTCAGTAATATTTTAATTTCCTGTAAAGGACTGGTTAGTCAAATGACAGAAGTTGTTCTGCCAGATGTAATACGAGCTGCTGTTTCATTAAATTCAGAGGTTATGGATGCATTTGGATTGATCTCACAAGTTCGGGGATCTATAGAAACTGCACTGGAGCAGCTTATGGAGGTTGAAATGGAGAGAGTATCACTTATTGAACTTGAACAGAATTATTTTGTTAAGGTTGGTCTTATTACTGAGCAGCAGCTGGCCCTTGAAGAAGCTGCAGTTAAGGGCAGAGATCATCTTTCTTGGGAAGAGGCAGAGGAACTAGCATCCCAAGAGGAAGCTTGTAGAGTACAACTGGACCAACTTCATCAAACATGGAATCAAAGGGATGTAAGGACTTCGTCTCTTACCAAGAGAGAAACAGACATTAAAAATGCCTTGATTTCTGTGAATTGTCAATTTCAATCTCTTGTTGGTGTGGAAGAAGAAAGGGAGCTACATATTTTGAGAAGCAAAGCACTACTGGCCTCACTTGTTAAGCCTTTCTTGGAATTGGAATCCATTGATATTTTGCTGTCTTCGACTGATGGTTCAGTTGCCATGCCCACGAGTAAATTTCATACTATGACAGATTTGATAAACTCTGGGAATTCTATATCTGAATATGTCTGGAAAGTAGGAGGTCTATTGGATAATCATTCCTTCTTTATTTGGAAAATAGGAGTCATAGATTCTTTTCTTGATGCATGCATTCATGACATAGCTTCATCAGTTGAGCAAAATCTAGGCTTTGACCAATCACTCAATTTTATGAAGAAAAAACTTGAAATCCAACTTCAGAAACACATTGGTCACTATTTAAAAGAAAGAGTTGCTCCTAGTTTACTGGCTTGTTTAGATAAAGAAAATGAGCACTTGAAGCAACTTACAGAGTCATCAAAGGAACTTGCTTTAGACCAGGGGAAAAAGGATGGGGCTGTGAAAAAAGTTTTACTTATGCTCAAAGAATATTGTAATGCACATGAAACTGCTAGAGCAGCAAAATCAGCTGCTTCTATCATGAAAAAACAAGTGAATGAGTTAAAAGAAGCTCTACGAAAAACTGCCCTTGAGGTAGTTCAAATGGAATGGATGCATGATGTTAGTTTGAACCCATCATATAACAGAAGAATCAGATTTGAGAAGTATCTAGATACTGATGACAGCTTGTATACAATCATTTTAAATCTCAACCGGTCTAAATTACTGGATAATGTGCAATCTGCTGTATCAAAAATCACAACATCAATGGATTGTCTTCAGTCTTGTGAACGAAATTCTCTTATGGCTGAAGGACAACTTGAGAGAGCAATGGCTTGGGCTTGTGGAAATTCTAGTAATTCTGGAAATACTTCAACCACGAATTCAGGAATTCCTCCTGAGTTCCATGAACATATTAAGAATCGGAGGCAGATTTTATGGGAATCTAGAGAAAAGGCATCGGACATTGTGAAGTTGTGTGTGTCAGTGTTAGAGTTTGAAGCATCAAGAGATGGGTATTTGTTTATACCAGACCAACCTTATCCCTTTAGGAGTAGTGTTGATGCCAAGACATGGCAGCAGGTGTACTTGAATGCACTAACAAGATTAGATGTTACTTTCCATTCTTATTCACGTGAGTTTGCTATTTTCCTATGTTTGTTGAACTTCCCCATTAGTTGAACGTCTGCATAAAGGGAATATGTACTCTCCTTTTCTTGTGATAGGTACTGAACAAGAGTGGAAGCTTGCACAATGCACTGTTGAAGCTGCTTCCAATGGATTATATACTGCTACCAATGAACTCTCCATTGCCTCTCTAAAAGCAAAGTCAGCTTCAGGTAGAGCTTGCCATCTTGATTACTGGTCATGTACACATTGAATTTCACACATGCACATGCATATGCATGTTTTCTTTCTATGTTGATGTATCAACATTGTGGTTGCATGTGTTGAATTTTCTTTGCCTTTTTTATAGGTGATTTACAAAACACGGTTCTTTCAATGAGGGACTGTGCATACGAAGCTAGTGTTACACTGTCTGCTTTTGCTCGGATTTCGAGGATCCAAACTGCTCTAACTTCAGAAAGTGGTTCAATGCTTGAAGAGGTAGTGTCCAAATTGCATCGTTCTTGTATGTTAATGTGAAGTATAATGTTTAAATAATTCTTTCAGATAGTTTATTTAAAGAATTTGATATTTATATTGATGTCAATCCATGCATTGTGCACATGTTTCTTTAGAGATAATTTTGAAACTGCTAGTTTATAAGTAGGCAAAATGATTTTAGGTTAATGAAATTATGCTTTGCACCTGGTCTTTAAATCTTAACATGACCCACGTTGTTCACAGATTAAATAAAAATAACGTAAATGTAGTTTGATGAAATTTTTCAAAAATTTTCTGGCTCCATGGATCATTCTTTTAGCAATCCTGAAATTGTTTGACCAACTTGTTAACGAAGTAATGGTAAATTACTGGCCCCTCCCCCTCCCAAAATAATCCCAATTCAATAAAAAGGATTAGTATGCATTTGAATAAGGGTTCTGTTCCTCTTCCTCATCACCAGATCTACTGTTTCTTATAAATATATGATTACCATCACAAAATTATTACAAATAATTTACTACCGGTTCCATTAATTACCATTATGTCCTCTTCCTATTTTTTTTTTTGGAAACCAAATATTTGTTCGCTTTGTAGGTTTTAGCAATAACTGAAGATATACATGATGTTTACAATCTGGGGAAAGAGGCAGCTGGTATCCACCTTTCTCTTATGGAAGGCCTTTCAAAGGTTTATTTACCTCTTGTATCTCAGTTTGTAAAATAGTGACGTTTAGGCTTTGCCTTAGCTGTCAATTTTATATTTCCTGATGTTAAGCTTCCCTAACATCATTTTTGTACTTTGGTGGTTTTGTTTGTTTAGGCAAATGCAATCCTTTTTCCACTTGAATCGGTGCTGTCTAAGGATGTAGCTGCTATGGCTGATGCAATTGATAGGGAAAGTGAGACCAAGAAGGAAATATCACACATCCATGGGCAAGCTATATATCAATCATATTGTTTAAGAATCAGGGAGGCTTGTCAGACCTTTAAGCCCTTGGTACCCTCTCTGATGTTAGCTGTGAAGGGACTTTATTCATTGTTGACAAGGCTAGCAAGAACCGCTAATGTCCATGCTGGCAACCTCCACAAAGTAATCTGACAGTTTCAAGCTATTCCTGTTCTCTCTCTCTCTCTCTCTCTCTCTCTCTCTCTC